TCGGTATATAAAATCGTATAGCAATAGAAGCAATAGAAGGTTAAATCAGAACGGAGAATTAATAGGGAGAGCAATATGTAGTGTGTAAGAAAACCTTAGACAAGTCGTATACACTAGATTTAACACTTAGATATTCTCTTGTCGTGTTTTCACTCTGTATACACAAGTCCAAAATACGTAATAATAATAATAATAATAATAATAACTCGCGGTTCTGGTATACCGGTTTATCACAACCTAGTTCGTAGGTCGTTTCAAAGCGGTTCACAAATTATTATACGTGGTTATATACATAAGAAATATAGAGTAGAGAGAGAAACATTCCTTTATAGCGTTTGCCTGGCTGTTAATAAATCAAAACAAGCGTGTCTATACATGTAGGTGAACCTAACTCTAATTCTACATTGGCAAGTACCTGGCTTACTAGCTTAGTAAATTCTAAATAAATATTTGTGAAATCACATGTTTTCTTTTATGGAGATATTTGTGCATCAGTTTAAAGAAACCTTATACAGTCATAGTGAATGTAACACCGTACAGTTTAAAAGCTACGTATTTCAATATTTGTCCTATACTATGCTTTGCCAAAATAAATACTATAAGTAGTATGAAACTAACCAGACTTTTACATACGGGCCCATTAGTGATGTGCGTGAAAGGTCTCGACAGGTCAGCCAAGTAGAACGGTTTTGCTCTGTGAACATCTGGATAAAGATGCGTTGTAATTCAGAACGGTCACTGAATCGTAATGTATTACTTAAAAGTTAATCTAATTCTGATTTAATGTCTGAGGCTTTTAATAGTTTGTTAAAAACATTTTTTAGACTTTACTTCCCGTTATCATTTACATCGGTTTCAATCGTCATGATTACCACGGCGAAAAGCCATTTTAAGTGTGTCTTCTAAATTTAGACACGGTGAATGGAATGATAAACGAGTCAGGTTATCGGTTATTTTTGTGCATAATATAGTAACTCAACACAAGTATGTCGCACCAGGGGACAAAAATAGTCGCCATCTCGTTTGTTAAAGAATTACGACCCAATGCAAACATGTAGTAATATCCATTCTTGCGTAAATATACTTAATTACTACGAAGAGACTAGTCTTTGTCTTTTAATTTGGTTTTCCTTTTAACAATTACGGACATGACTCCGTGAGAGTAATGTATGCATGTCAGTATTTTTGTGCATTTATGTTTAGTATACCTCCTTGCGATGCACCAACCACGATTGATATGCTGCCACGATAGCAATATTTGCAATTTGTATATATTTTTTCTCTGACTTGTTTCCTAGTGCCTTATATGGCAAATACCACACGTGTGGCATTAGCGTTGAAATCCGCTCAGGTGGGGTAGGCAATGGGTTCTGTCCCCAGAGATACCAACTTCCTTAAAAATGGCAGTTGTTTGCCCTGCTTAACACTTGGTTTTCAGGGTTGTTGCATGAACTGTTTTACCTGGTAGCAGTGTCATATGTCCTTTGGAATACTGTTTTGGGTGCGGTTTTCATGGTATTTTAGCGAATACCACTGTACAGTCGGTATCTGATCCGCGCTACCGCAAGGAGGCTAAGATAATGATTTACCTTGCCTCCAGCACACATAGACACAAGCACGCATACTAATAAGGTGAATATATAAGTAGATAAGTCATCATATAAGTGACATAACCAATAATAGCAAAGTCAAAAGACCATTAGCAAAATATAACGTTATCACTACATGTTGGTAGGAGTTATTTCGTATGTACTCTATAATGATGCATTCCCTCATTTTACAATCGTGTCTAACTGTCACTGGTCTTGTCACACTGTCGGGCACGCTTACTGACCCGACTGCTGCTACGAATGATCGACAGTGCTGCTTTATATACATCTTAAAACCTTCGCTGAACGTGTTTGCTTGTACCAAAACCGTTAACCGATACATGAATGAAAAACGCAGTAAACGCTGTGTCGACGTATTTATTTGAAACTGTAAAGTAAACATCATTATTACAAACATGATAATTTACTACCAAATGACGACGTTTTGTCCGGACAATAAATGGAAAACACAAGTAACACGCCTGAAGGAACGTTATTTATCAACATTTACGCTGCAAACATTAACCTAAATAATCCCACCACTAACTGACAACAGTGACATGTGTACTTAATCGCTAAAATCGAAAGTAATGGACTTTTTACGTCACATATTAGCATTTTAGGTAAAGTCGTTTACCACCAACGGCAAAACAAATGCTATAAATAAACAAACATATCTCTGTTAAGGCTACACGATGTTTTTCAAACAACCGGAATAATGTTAATGCGTACATGTAGCTGAGAACAGCCTTTTTATATTAGTTATCTTAACGAATTACTAATCAAAATTATCAAAACAAGATCTAGCTTTTCGAACTAACGCTATATCAATATATTTACATTCTGTTTCTTCATGTGCTCTTGAATTATCAAGTTATAAGAATGGTGATTATTGAAATTGTTACGGAATTATCCGAGTTATATATGATTTACAAACTTAAGCTCGTCAACCTGAAATAAACGTGTACGAGAACGATACTTTATAGTTGAGTTAGTGGCGTGTAACCACCTGGTCACCTCGCACCACACAGATATACAGCTGCTGGTTGGACGGTAGGTATGAAGAAAATAATCAAAATTCCGTGAATAATAAAATGATATCATTGTCACCGTATATCGTAGTTTACTGGATACAACTGAACAAAAAATGCATTTATCGAAAAAAGACGAGTAATGAGATTATCAAATAACAAAGGAACGTTAACAAATTTAGAATACAGAAACGAGCCGAAACAGATCAAACCACAGTCGCGTCCTTATTGAATCAGAATTGTAGATTGATGTCTGAAACATTATTGTTCTTGCACTTTTGCTGTAAATGTCTCGTTTTATGCTGTTTTGTTGTCCATGAGGGAGAAGATGTGAATACCAAGTGTCGGGATAATTGTTGTTTTTATTTTGAAATAATGATTAATAAGTAAGGGGTTTGGTTTGGTGTTATATTGTTTAACGTCTTATTAACATCTAAGGTAAGTTAAGGACGTACATCCATGTGTGTTGTGTTAGCGTGCATGTGTGTGTGTGTGCCGGATAGGGTAATTGAACTGTGTCTACAAAAATTCGCAAACGTCCGTTTTCCTGGCTCGGATCCAGTTATCCACATTATAATTCATAATCTAAAACCACCAAAAGAAACGATGATTTTCAGCGGTTTTTTTTCTTCAAAATCTGGACCACACTGCCATGGATTGATAATGCTAGGAGTGATATGGAATTACATTGACCTTTCGGGGTCACGCTATTGTTCGTAAAGTCATGAATAATTAATCTAAGGACGTGTTTGGGTCACTCGTGGTCACTGACGTCATAAACAAAGGCCATCTGGGCTTGGTTTGGTTTTTTTCTTCAACGTCTTATTATTGACTGCCGAGGTCACTCGAGGACGTGCTGTCCTATGTGTTGTGTACGCATGCATGTCGGAGACAGGGTATGTTGGTGTAATTGCCTCCTTGTGGAGGTGCGTATAGCATGCCGACTTTATAGTGATATCTGACTAAAATACCATCCCGAAGGCACCGTGCTAGCACCGCATTCCGCCCGGTCACATTTTACTGACAATGAGTGATCAAGTTAAGTTGTTGCCATTATCCTAAATGCTTATGTATTATTAAAATTATAATTATAGAAATAATTTGTTTCCAGGCCGGGAGATAGCCAACTCTATCAAAATGGTAGCTGCTGATTAACCCATTGTAGGCCTAATGTGACCGGATATAATCTTATTTTCGGGGCTTCCGAGATGGGTATTTTTTGAGTAAGGACTATAAATTCCGCATCATATCCGCGCTATCATAAGATCGCAAATACACAATCATACCAACTGTAGCAGTCATACCTACATACATTACATATGGAACCACGTCCTTAAATTATTTTATCTGTTAAACATTAGTCAATTGGTGTTAACATAAAGACACGATTTATTATACAATGTTTTGGATTAATTCATTACCTTTTATATACATGTATTCTTGACTTATTCATTTACGAATTTGATAAGCTCAGCTAATTGATATTGAATTTTAGATTCAAATATCGGTTCTGTTTTTACAGAATAACGTTTCATATATGTATATTGCGATAAATTGTTTAAAAAAATCAAAATCAAACCCATTTGTTTATGGAATTTAAGTTTTTCTTCTTTTTTTTTATTAAATATCGTTCGTGATTTGGTGAATACATGTTTGTAGCTACATGTACGATTTGTATTGTATGCAATTTCATGTACGCATATGGAAGATGGTATTGAGAAAGTGGTACTAGATCAGACGTTTGACGTCTTGCTGACATCAACACCATTTAGTGATCGTAAAACGGACACCAAGTAACGCATTTTGTACACGTCATATTGTCAGGTGACAGGTCAAAGGCGATCTGGACAATACTGGTCAAAGAACTGTTAGCTTATCGCTTTGGTAACTGGCATTTGCAAAAGAAAAGCTGTATACATTGTAATAGCGTTATTGTCGGTCTGTTTTATAAAATTTTGAATGCAATAACAAACAGTAGTTTCGAATAAACTCTATATTTACAATGTAAGTACTATAAAAGTCTCAATCGATTATCTCTGTTACATTGTTAAGCTTATCAGACTTTCGGTTACTCACCGGTAAGTACAACTAGAACTTGATTGTTTTTTGTTAGCTTAACATAACTTTGCTAACTTTCATTTTGAGATCTTTTAAACTGCATGCATTTTATAAAAAAAAACTTATGCTCTGATTTTAAATTTGTAATAAATGATCCTTTAACTTGCATTATGATGTATATTTTCTTTTCTAAATATTTTGTAGGAAATTAGTAAGTTTAATTTGTCTGTAAGCTAACCATGTCATAGACAACTTGGATCTTGGTATCATAACATGATGCACTGCATATGCTTAATAGTAACTACAGTTAGTGTGTAGACATGTAAACAGTGAATAGTTTGGTGTATCCGAAACAGGTTGGAATTATACTATACCGGAGCTGGAGCCGAATTTTGCAAAGGAGGTTTCCATGAGGTAATTTTCTTTTCATAAACAACCACAAATGATATATTTGACTTGTTTGAAAGCTTGAAATTTGTTCTGGTATAAAACAATAATATGTTTAGAACCATTATCAAATTATACAAGGAAATACTTCAGCGTCGTATATCTAATGACTATATATATCTCCACAAATTTGCTGTCCTCCTCATGCTCAATATGTATGTATATAATATACGCGTGCGTATCCGTGTGTGAATGTAAAAAAGAGCCAAACTGCTTTAACATGAGATATGAGACATGTTTTATTACTAATAGTTTAAACTGATTGATCATGAACAGTAAAGTGTGGAAGTATAGACTCGTTATGTTGAAGTGAAGGTCGAATTGTAATCGTATATTGAGTATAATTCATAAAAGCAGCATATGCTGATTGTAATATTTTGGTATATTAACCAAAGTAGGAAGAACTATGTAAGTGTTGTCATCCTAGTTCCTATGAATAAATAAATGTACAGGGAAGATAGGATATTTTACTCTTACATGAAATATTTCATAATTTCATTTAGAAAAAACTGCGCAAGTAAGTAGAGAGACGCAGCACAGACTTAAACCATTCCTTTAGCATCAGATCAGAATTTGTGATCGTTGTGACATTGGCAGCGTAAACCGAATGACGCGCGTGATATACACTCGCTTACCGCTTATGTTAATTAAAAACGTCACGAATTTGTTTTCAATTAATTACTACTGTTTTAAGACGGAGGCTCATAGTTCCTTGTCAGTGTATAATTTGGCTGTTAATCCATATATGTGAATTTTACCTCCACTTTGTGGCTTCCATAACTAAGTGCCTTCCTTCGATATTGTGACGTGAAGTCCAATTTGCATATTCCTTGTCTAGGAGTAATTAAACTAGTCACACTCTCACTTATAACGCTTTGTGTGTTATCTCTCGTCATACAGACACAAACGACGGGGATAAGATGGCAGCGCTGTGTTTTTCGATTGTAATAGGTAAGTACAAAATACATCTTTTTTTCATCCCAAAACATTCCACATACATGAAGTAGCCATTTATAATATTATTTTATTGTGATTATTGAAAATGATGTTTTTGTAAATAAAAGATCAATAAAAGAAGTTTTCAACATTTGTTGTACATTTCAGAAATTAATTTATTATAATTTTAATGACGTGTAAGTGATTATTGGTCTCTACCTCAATTTACTTGTGTGTAGTATCCTCAGTAAAGTTGAACACATATATCATCTGGCACAAAACGAAAACTACTGTCAACGTCATACATACTATTTAAATAATTTTTCAATTAATTTCAAATATACTATATACATGGTATTAAATAGAATATCTTATACCAAATTGAGAAATACTAAATAAGCATATGCTTTATAATTATTTGTTATACAAGTAATTGTGATATGCAAAGAAATTATAAGATAAGATAAGATACATGAGAATAAAAGAACTTCACATAAGATGTAATTTGTTAGTTAAAAGTTAGTTGTGATATGATAAAAATATTGCATTCATATGAAATATATTAAATAAGCCTCTTAATCAAGGTAGAATATGGCAAACTTTTACGCATAACATATACGAAAGAAACATTATATTAAAAATGGAGAACATGGTATTTCATGTAAAGAGCATCGATATGAACTATTGTAGATATATATATATATATGAAATATGAGAAGTTGAAATATATACATTAGAGATATATGTAAAGCATACATATCTTCATGTAATCTAATTAACAAAACGTCTCTACTGTTGATAAATGAACATAATAGAAACCATGTCTTCATGTATAATTCCGGCTGTCAAGCACGCCCTGTATAATCAGAAAAAAACTGCACTTAATGCAATAAATATAACTGTAAAACTTCACTCTTTGTAGACGTGAATATGTCTAATCCAAGTTGCAAGTTGTGGACAGTTTTTGTTTAATTTCTGACAACTATATGAGATGGTATGGTATAAAACTACAAATCACAAACCGCACATCATCTCATCACGTGTCTCGATCTAGGCATGATATTAATAAGCAAGTAGAAAAACGATCAATGTCCAAAATCTATAAGCATGAATACGGGAGTTAGACTTGCCATGTGTATTTTATTCTAAAATATTTAATTTTTTAACTTATCTTGTCTGTGCTTTAAATATGGGGTTAATAGTGTCTTTCCTATATTTTTGAGCCTTTAAGTTTCCCGTCTTTTTTATCCGCGTCGTAATACCGTAATACGAATATTGTATTGTGCGAGAACAAACTGGTTTTTATGTCTATTTTCTTTTTACATGAAAAGAGGGTTAAGTCCATATGTATATTATAAGGTGGCATTTCATCGAGATTGGTTTGCTCCATATGTAAATTCGCAAGAACGTACATGTATGTGACAGTAGCGACTATGTTAATAATAAAACGCAAGTCCACTTAACATTGATAGATGGCGTTGGACACACATAACATGACAACTTTATGTACAAAAGATTTATCACCGGTATTACAGTCATAATGACAATAGAACTATTTGTTCGAAAGCAACAACCTGGATCTTAATAAAAAGCATTAGCATCTTAATCATATACAAGTGTTTCAAAGAGTTCTTGTCTTAAGTCATGAATATTCTACATAGAATAAAACAATCATTGGGCATATCGACGCCTTCGGGATAAGAAGATATTTGGAACGTCAGCTGGACGCATATGCAATTACCGTATGTAATTGGTAACGTAATTTTGGTTCATAATATTAAAATTACATATATTGCCGTTTCGTATATGTTTGAACAAGGATGTTTCCCCATATAACAGTGCAATTAAGGGATATATTTTGACGTATGACATATATCATGTAAAACTCAACCTTTAAATAGTATTCCATTAACTTAAAAGTCCGAACGCCATTATTCTTAGATTGCAATTTACATTTATTAACCTTAAATTTAGACTTCGATATATCAATGATTTTTTTAAATCAAAATACGGTTGTGTGACCGCACAACGCACCAGAAATAGCGTACGCACACCGTGTATACATCGTTCACACACCGTCCGCACATCGTCTACACATGACGCGCACAGCTGTACGATTTAACAATCGATCGCCCGTTATGCGGTTCTCTCCGCACAACTGTGCATTTGGGTACACTTTGTAGATCAATATTACGGAATGAAAAAAATACGGAAAGCTCGTATGCTATAATGAAAACAGTATGCATTACTGTAATTTCTCATCACAATAATGAAGATTATGTACAGTTTTACAATGCGTGTAACACAGAATTAAGTGACCGCTAGACTGTCAAGAATGGGGTTGGCTCCAAGGTAACAGAACAGGTAAATAACAATTTGATGAGTGAGCGGAGTTTTACCTGGCCTGTACCTGACACATAGAGCTGAAAGGCGATACCGTATGACCATAATGAAAGCACAACTGGACGTTTCGTATATGTTATTTGCATTCGGTTTGCCTATATCTCCCCTTCACTTGTGTTTTCACACCCCTGGCCCTACCCGACGAAATATGTAAGCGCCACGGGCGGGGGGAAACTACGGTCCAGGTACATATACAAAGTGCCTATGTTTACCTGTATACGGGACTGTGTTGTAATTTAACATGTGTCGATTAAGGTCGTTTAAAAAATACCGAAAACACAATTTCTAAATTTAAGAAAATATAGATATAAAAGTAAGCTTATAGATGTAGGTAGAATATAGAAGCATACGTACAAATCAAGTTTATGTGTTTAAGCACGAAACCGTATATATTGTTAAGGCATTCCTCAATTTACACCAACCACGATTGTTATCGCACAGCGTTCGTCCATCGTGCACACAAATGTGCGCAAACAATGATCGTCCAATTTTGTATCGTTCGCACATCGTGCACACATCGTTCACACACCGTGCACACATCGTGCGCACACCGTACATCATGTAACGTTGTGCGATCCCACAACTGTAACTCACTTTCATCACACCGTCATGTTTAAACTGCATATTTACTTATGTAACTACTGGATCAATTATTCGCAAAATAACATTATTGTTCGCAAGTCATTAATTCAAAGTTATGCGGGTATTTATATTATGCATTTTAAATTAGAACACTGTTGAATGATTTATTATTATAATATGGCATCGAAATGTTTAACGTAAACAGGCGTGACTATGGGGAGCTTAGAATGACAGGTTTGGTCACATTGGGTCAACATACTCTATAATATAATCAAGATCTAACAAAAGAAAACTTAGATTGTCTTCGTAATGATTTAAAAGGAGTGCTTAAGTAATGCCACAATTAGCATATTTCGTGTCGGTTGAAGCTCCTGTATGGCATTGTCGTGATTTCAGCTTACTAATCGGCATGTATACATGTTTCGACGGGCTGACCTTTGACCGATGACATGTCACGTTAACCCTTCACATCCCGGTGTACACCTGCAAGTGTCTCTCTATGGCTTTAGAGACTCTGTCCCTTTGGGACAGAAATAACTCGTATACCATCCTCGTCTGGTCAAGACACAGACTGGTTCTTCTCAGGGAAGGTGCCAGGCACGTTTATAAAACGTTTGTGTGGATAACTTGGGATTCATTAACGATTTTTTTCGATGATAATTTTTTAACCTGTTTTTTTACGGGAAAACTGTATAGAAATAGAAATAATATGCCTATTTACTTTTATTCTGATATGAACTTAAACAGATGGTATAAGTTGTTATGAATTACAATGAGTTGAGGTCCAACCCAAAATGCATTTGCATAAAGCTAACACAGTGTACATTATATCACATACAAATGCAAATATGAAATGTTCCATTTGAGTAATTGAGTGTTTCGGGCCAAGACAATTTATGTCCAGAGGGTTTTATGTAGTAAACATGTGTTCCTTCTGTACATATGCTATTTTGTAGTTAGTAAATATACCATATATTCTACGTATCAAATCAGGTAAATTAACAGGTATGCTTTGTTGAATTTTCAAAGGTAAAAAGGAGACAAGTATGATTAAAACTCAAAGTATGCAAATGATTAATGGCTTCAAATTCAGATTTTTTTTATAAAATACAGATTAATCAAATTCATATCAAGGTAGTATGAAATTTAATTCGCCAATTAAATTTTTCTTCGTTAGAAATTGTAGAGACACGGGAATTAATCTCTTGAATCTTCATTAATGAAACGTTTATGAATACCATGTTTAACTACAGATGGTCATATATGTTGAGATGTGTCTACGTTTAAAACGTTAATTAATAAAAATGGTATGAGGAGTGTTGACATTAAGTCTGAGCACGTCTGGACAGTGTAGGCGCTCATTAGTAATATATCCTTATGGCTGTATTGAATCCTGTCTAAAAATGAACAAAAACGGCTAAAACGTTGATACGACGACATAAACATGTAAATTTTACGTCAATGGTTTTAAAGATGTACGTGTTATGTGAAGGATTGTTTTGATTGATAATGTGTCCCACATTTATTTGTTCTGTCCTAGATGATTTGTTCTCTTTTGCAAGTATGCATTTCTCAACAATTCAAGTGTGATGTTGGAATGCAATTTAATGTATTTTATCAGTGTTTTGTTATTCAAATTCAATTTTCACTGTCATCTGACACCAATGAAAGTGATAAGTTTATGTAGCAGAACAATTATAGATTTGTTTTACTCCGCATTGAAGCCGCGGTTGGCCTATTTTAACAACGTTGCCCGTCTGTCTGGGTTTCCGTTTGTCGGTCCGTCCACATTGGTTTTTTGGAGATTATCTAAGGAAACAAATATCTTTTCAAAATTTGACCTGGCGATATACTGTGATTTAAAAATACGTTAAAATTTCTAATGTCAAGGTCAATGGCAATAACTATAATAGACCGGGGTGTTCGGTTCTTATGTTTGAATTAAAATGATTGTTGAATTTGAAACTTGTCATGATGGTGCATTGTGTGAAATAGAGAATAAACGTCAAGATGACCGTTTCTATATATAGGCCATGGGGTTACGGTCCTTTTGTCGGAATCCAAAAGACTGACAATTATGAAATTTAATATGGTAATAGACCAATAGTATACAAAAGGTGTAAACAAGTTTCTGAAGTCAAGGTCACATCTACTAAAAGATAATGCAACTGAAGGTTCGGGAAAATATACCTATTGTATCTCACTACATCAACCAAATTAATCTGCTGCTAATTGGAGCAATAATGATATATATCTTTTTCGATTGTACTGCAATACCCAGTATCTGTATTCCAGTAAAGATGTTGCAAGACTAGAAATATTTTATTCCATATGGACATTGCCAAGCAAGACAGCTGCTTGGAATTTATTCATAATCCAATTGTAGTTTTTTTTTTACTGAATCAAACCATATCCTTTCAATACAATGTTCACTTCATCTGTCTATAAATAAAATATGCAATCTTATTAAATAACTAGTCTTCTGACTTGTTGAACAGCACTAGTATTAAAGTTGACCAACACTGTTCATGATAGGATTAATTCATAATGAACCAAAAAGTCAAAATATAGATTAATATAACCACACGCTAAACCTGCAATTTTGTACCTACTCTGATGAAGTCATCCGGATATGGTTACGCCTGAGGGAATACTTTGATTGACAAGTTAAGGTGTCATGACTGATGACACTTGTACGATAGCAATCACGATCAGTATAAAAGGAACACACTTTTCAATCTCTTGTGTAGGCGCTCAGTCATCAGCTTAAGACGCCATTTGTTTAATATTCGCATTTGTTTTACATACTGTGTTTAAAATATTTAAATATAAATCATTTCTATTTGTGCATTTGAGTCACCTCGAATCGATTTTGAATATCAAAAAGCAAAACCATAAAAGCACATAACGAACAAATAACTGTAAGCTGTGATGCAGCCAACGAGTCTTAACACGAGTCTGGGCCCTGCAGGGCTCAGTTGAAATACAATAAGCGTCACAAGAAGTCATACAAATATTAAATACAAATTGTATGAATTTTCTTCAAAAGCTACAAACTATTGTGTTTCCTTAGTTTCTATGATACGATTTTATTCTCCCTAATTATACAGAAATCGAAAATAGTAATAGAATATATCATGTTGATTTGTCTTTGAGCTCGGCAAGTCTGGATCATAGTAACTGGCACGGAATCTATGGACAGTTGAATGTTGATTACAGAACAGGAAATGTATTCAGTTTTAATTGAAATTGTTTATCCATCGTGCTTAATTAATCTCTTTTAGTTGCAAAATGTTTTATGCATTTATTCAAATGTAGGATACTGCCTTGGGGATTTTGAAATTGGCTTTTATCTATTTTAGATCCGGCTATTCAATGTAATAGCCATTTTACATCAGTGTATTCAATGACGTAATACCTATGAGGACAGCAATCAGGGGAATAAGATAACTTAATTAACTTTTTACAATGAAAGGAAAGTTGCTATTGCTTTTTTTACATTATTATTTTTACAACATTGTGTTACAATGTAATCCTTTTTTAAATAGCTGAAGCATATGATTATGTTGTTAAGAGAATTGCAAAATTTGTTTCCATTTCTTCTGAAGCTTATGAAATTTGCTGTAGCACGATGCATAATTGTTATGGCACGAGGACTTTAAAATCCTCTCCTCTATTAAATACTTCCTGTTCCATATTTGTGTAATTTCTTTAACGTTTAGTTTTGTTGTACATATATTATAACAAACGTTTAACAATTAATAAATTATGAAAACCAATGAGAAACGCCCGTATGAACTTATCTTATCAATAAACCCGTGCAGGTTCGGGGGAGGGAATGGGCCTGCTGTATCCACTGACTGATCGCAGGTTAGGGGGAGGGAATAGGCCTGCTGTATCCACTGACTGATCGTAATAGGCGATTAACATGGGGATAATATCAGCAAATTCAACACATAAAAATCAACTTATTACGGAAATTACAAACGTCTTTTTTAATAAAACATTCTTTATTATTATTTCTTTCCGTGCAATCCGATCCAACTAAACTGTCAGTAACATATCCAATAGATGATTCTAAGTGCCCTCACTCGTTTTCACACACCCAACCATAAAAAAGTGTGCAATAAATCACATTAAACTCCAGTCATTGTATAGCTAAATCCATTGCATGTGCAATCGTGATAAAATGACGAAAACTTCGACTGTGGTAATAATAATAAATGTTTGATGGGAAGGGAACATAAAAACCATGAGGTCTATAATACAATGCAAAGGATCCAAATTAGGACGGGATTTTTAAAAGGTTGTTATTATTAATAGTTTTTATCTGTTTCATACATTTTGGCTCTTTATTTCTCAACACCATGCGATGGTATACTATTCCCCTCTTCTCTTTTGAATCAGTTTTGACGTTAGGAACTTTTAGGGAATACATTCAATGTCGTCGTGGCGTTTGTTGGCTAACACAACTTATGATACCTAATGTTTTTGGTTGTAGTTGGTATATTTGCAACTGATTTGTATTTATGTGTTTTGCAAAATAATAAGAACTTCTTGATAGAAGCCACTGGGTGGCTAAACCACCAAAATAAGTACAAATGTCACCCTTTGGGTGCACTTTTTCATTCACATTTCTTGTTTACGTTGTTTTTGTTATGAGTGGAGAGGCATACAAGGCAGCTAAGCAATTCGCTTGATTATTCTTATAACACCATAACAAGTTTAATTATTGTATAACTGTTATTATTTTATTTTAAAGTGAGAAACATTAGTATTACAATATTATGACACAATACACATTAACACACAAGACACATTAACAGGTTCAGTAAATATCGAGGATTATTGATTTGCTGCTGATAACGTAAATCAGGATGATGTCCCCTTATTCGTCAAGTGACCCTTGCGAATCGTTCAAAGCATATCTAACTTGGAATAGTTTTAAGCCCATCGTGGTGCGGCGTCTGTCCGTCTGGCGTCAACTTTTTATTTTAAACAACTTCTACTGACTAACCAAAATACCCAGGGTGATGTTATTTGGCCAGTAGCATGCTTGGAAAAGAGGCTACCAAGTGTGTTCATCCTCAAGGTTGAACATAAATTAAAAATACAATTATTAAGTAAAGCGATGATCAATATACCTTTGGTTTCTAACTTTTTGGCCTCTAGCATCACCGACTAGTCCTTAAGGATGAACCAGCTGTAGGACGCAGCGTTATTAATTGTTTAGCACAATGTTACTATTACCAGACTTTAAAGGTGCATCACATGTATGTGTAATATACATATTTGAAAAGTATAGCTTGTCTTTATATATAAATAAGCATACAGGGGTTTCTCCAACATATGATAATATCCCTCTAAGGATGCAATATCGATGTCAACCAATAACACAATGAACAAATTCAATATAATCAGTATACATGACCTGTCCCTTTAAAGACTTCCTTTAATATCTCTCTGGCCCTATTATGTATAATATAACTCTTTGAGCTCTTGGGTGGATTACAGTACTATATATGGATTATCTTTATACATTAAACACTTATTAATTCAAAAGTACTAGAATGCCTTTTCTAACACTCTCTTTCGAGAGGGGTCAGGCCTCCGTCTTTCCCTTTGGCGTTCAGTCTACAGTTGGTTGAAGGTTCCTGCATGTACTACCTCTCTGCAAATAAAGTAAAACCTGACACTGCCTTACATGTGTATCACACATTCATGACACTAAGAGTGTACACGTACAGGTTATCTCCCCTCCTTCGTAAATTGAAAATTTTGATAACCGGTCTTTGTTGTGTTTCACTCGCCTTTCAGAACGTTTAAGAACTTTCTAAACTTTTAAACAACATAGGTTTACAATGATATCGCTCAACAATTATGCAAAGACAATACGTTTCTATCAATGACTACTTTATATGAGTCAAATTAGAGTTCAAGCTCCTTTTTATGTGGTTTTCACGTCTTTTTCGTCTTTATTAATGTTTAACAGTATACACTGTTGATTGGTTTGGTTTTATTTTGTGTATCGTTCTATTAACAGCAACAGCTAAGGTTATTTAAGCGTGCATGTGTGTATGTGTGCCGGAGACAGGGTATTTTAGTGTGATATCGCGGATCTGATGACGACTTTATAGTGCTTTATTACTGAAATGCCATGTCGAAGGCACCAAACACAACATTACGCCCGGTCACATTATACTAACAACAGCTGTACCAGTTGTTGCCATTCCCCTCAATGCTTAACGTTATGAACGGAAATAACTAAGACCATATTCAAGTACTTTGGTACATATGTGTCCCGACCTTGTGCAAGGTGCTAGGAAATAAAAGGTAGTCAGAAATAGACACAAAAGCAAATCCCCAATTCCGCTGGGGGTTCCCATATTAGTCGCCTCTTTTGTTGAATCTGAGACATATAATATATAATTGTCCATTTTACTTTCAGTTTGTCTGTTAATTACACAAGCTGAGTCCATATGTAACCCAACCCCTGACTTAGACGGAGCACCAGAAGGGTAAGTTTCCAGAATTTAAATTCAACAACACAAGGTATTTAATGTTGATTTGATGACATATTATGTGAAAGAGTAAACAATATTAGTTATATAGTCAGTTACTGACCCTCTACAGAACTATAGAGGGTCAGTAACTGACTATATAACGAATTTATCGCATCGAGGACCCTTTTTGCTTAAAATGAAAGTGATGTAATACATAACAAAACAATATGAATATTTAACAAATTTCGTCTAACCTCGCTGCGGTATAGCCTTCAAAATCCACATCCTGATGTTTCTCCATGAGATAATCCTTAAAACACTTCACACACGTCTTGTTGGCCTTTTGCGTTTGGGCAGACTGACTGTTTAGTCGCTTCTTGTCTATTTCTTCCGTTGTCGTCTGCCCAAATCTCTCCATGTTGTTGTTGTGCTGTTGTCTCTCAATGTCACCGAAACGCTTAGATAAGGGGACGGCACCCACGCTAATACAAAAGACGGTCGCTTGCTACAGCGTCTTACTAATTTTGCCTGGCGTAGGAGAAGCAACTCCTATCATTTCAGAATATTCAGGTACCCGGTATCTGTTGTTTTAGTTTTGAAGCGGTGAGCAGTGGGCGGCCATATTGCCCTATAATGGAATCCTACTGACCCTATATAGAAAATTAGAGGGTCACCACGTGACAGCTCTAAACCAATGGATTTTGGACATTTTTGTCCGAGGTGCGATAATGTTTGATGTATATCCGGATTCTTTAATATTTGCTATATTTTTCCTCCTAATTATAAGCCCTCTCTTCAGGCAACAACACCACTCGGTGCAATGAAATTTGCAATTAAATTATCAAAGCTTCACATAATGCAAAACATTCTGCGTTATTGCCTATCGTTGACGGTGCAATGTTATATAAAAAAAATACAAACATTACAAGCGTATAGAAGTCAACTTTATATCACTGTAACGGTATGCACCTGCGAGCTTTTTGATAATCATCAAACACACCCTATAATAATGCAACACGTGTCGAAACAGTAAATATCTCAATAATGTTGCGTTCCTTGCAAACTTAGTCTCCACTTTGACCTTTTTGTTGGTTTGAAGCAATTTCATTATACATGTTTTATCGGCATCCTTCGTTGGTATTAAAAGTCATTATGAATGCTTATTGGACATTTCAAATTCCATGAAGTTTACATGTAAATCTAAGTCCTAAACAAGTAATCTCTTGTCCTCAAATCGAGATCCGGGTTAAAATGAAACAACAGGGCACATTTTAAACAAAAGCATAACGAACTGTCGATAAAACAGCAATTCGAACTCAATACCGATAAAACAAATGATGAGCAAATGAAAGACCTTTTAAAAGTACAAATAAAACATGTGTTCCAGAAGAAAACCATATTGAAAACACTTTAAATTGCACAAGGAAATATAAGATTGGCATATGAAATTATGATGCGCTGCCCGTATTCTTCATCAATGGGATTTCCTATTATAAAAAACTTTATGGTAAAGAAAAATTGAAAAAAAAGAGAAACAAAAGTAAATTTGCATTTAGCCGTGGCCCAGATATCTTTAACCTAACATTTAATGACCCGACATTCAGTTACTCCCCATGTGAGGAAGGCTTTGGGTTCTGTCCCCTGGCCGAGACATACCAAAGTCTTTAAAAATGGTAGTTTCTACTCCTGCTTAACGCTCAGAAAATTAGGAGTGGGATGACTGGTTGCTGGGTGTCTTAGGCAGTATGTTTCAGTGAGGTAGCAATATAAAGTCGACATCAGTTACGTGCTATCACAAGGAGACAAACAAGAACATATCGCAGCCTCCCAAAATACACAAGCATACACTACACGCATGCATCTTGCACACAGGGGCGGCCGTACTTAAATGACCGTAGCTGTTAATAGGACGTTAAACAAAATCAAACCAAACCAAACCAAATCAGTTACTTAAAATGTAAATGACGGTTGCGTACGTATGCATTCGCCACAGGCTGTTACAGCTCAAACCTAATTAGGCTTGAACGTTTACCCGATCTTGTTTGCGTAAAAGCTCGTCATGCTGGTTTCGATCCGTTTGGGTGAATGGTGTGGGAATCAGATAACATGTGGTCGACATAACATATACAATATTTAAAGCATGATTAAGAAATACATAGTACACATACACACATACAGTACATTAGGTTAAGGCAGAAGCATATCACAGATAAAATTATAATATCACAGTTTTGGAAAGTCGAGAATATGTCACGTGTGTAATTAAAACATTAGTGAATTGATCAAATGTCATGCACAGCATACATTCTTATGTGCATTTTAAAATTAAGAAACATATCTTGTGTCTAATTAACATACATATATGTTAGCCTTTGCCTGAGAGCAAAACAGAACACAACAGAAAAAGCTACAGAAGCGGGACGGCTTGTTCGTTTGGAGACGCGTGATAATGGTATGTTTAGAAGCACACAGTCCTTCAACAAAACATCAGTCGGGAATAATATCCAAAAATAATAAATACTAATAGAAAGCTTGAGCTAAGACCAAAAAAGAAAGAAAGAGTGTAATTAAACCTAAAATTTGATAACATATGTGACATAGGTGCTATAGCATAAAATCCTAGGAGATATATACTTACATAGTTCTAATCAAATTTTTGTTTGTATATATTATTTAAGTATTTTCTGCATTCTGATTTGAACCTATTCAATGTCTGACTCTCAGTGATAGATGTTGGCAGGCTGTTCCAACATTTGGGACTATCGTTTCAAATACATAAGACTATTTTAAAATAAGTTTCAGAGGTTATACTGACAGTATTGCCAAATGTGGGCACTGGATAAAAACAAACAAGTGTTAAGACTATTAATACACACATATATACATGTATATTTATATATACTGAGGTGTCAGCGTTTCAGTTGACACATTCCGTTCAAACAACATATTTATACTTGATGTTATGTCTTTCTATGTAGCCGTTTGTTCCGTCAACTACGTAAGTCTGTTGGGTCAACCGTGACGTTTCACTACAGAAGCTTCCAGTATTTCTGTCCTTGACTAAAAAGCGTTGCAGGTGTGTAGGTCATTACCTAAAGAATTTCTAGATGCCAATATTGTACACATACTGTATTGTGTATAACCTAACATGGAAGCGGCCTTTTATTCCTATCAGTTCTTGTTAATTCAGTATGCTCGTTGTAAAGTTCTCGCATTTAACAATCCTTATTGTATATAAGGAGCTACACATGTGTCGCCCATTCCCCACATATAAAGTACTCGATATGTTTGCGTGAATTGTCAATTTTCAACCAAATCAATACATACTGTAATAGGATCCGTGACATAATAACGTACTTCATCACGACGCTCTGTCGGTCCCCTACATCTATTGAGTTCATGTGGTTTTTGTGTACTGAATGTAATGTAATATCTTTACTACTATCCATTTAAAACGTTCATGGTTTGTGAGCAATCCTGGTCGTGCCTTTTTATATAGCCTCAACATAATTTAGATGGCATGATATCGAACTCAAAAAAAATAAGAACTTAAATCGTCTTTTAAACAGCCTCTATTGTGTACGTGAGTGCTTGTATATGTTCACATGTGTGGTAAAAAATGTGCAAAAAGAAAATAACATCATTTCAATACTTTGGTGTATCTCCGAGTACCAACACTTTTAATTTCTCTGTTTGGTTGAAAATGGAATACAGTTCCATTTTAAAATAAAGTTTCTGAGTTACAAAAAGTGAAGTTATCTGTGAAATGCAGCACAATTAATTATTCATACTGTCATAGCACACCTTCTACTGTATTTTACTTATTTGCTCAGCAAGAATAAATTAAAACGTATTTTTTTCCAAATTACATGTGGAATGAAGACATTACTGCAATACCAAATAGTGAGATTTTAGAAAAACAGAATTACTGATCAGTAAGCAGAGCATATCAAAAATTAAATGTTACTTATAGAAATAAGAAAACTAAGGGATAAAACCGAAATGTCCTATACAAAGCAACACTTTTCAGGTTAAAATTGATAATACCCTGTCTGTCAAGTGAATGGTTTCCAACTGGAGCGGTTAAATCAGCCCATCTTCTTTGACTATCTTGTAATCACGATTACATTTCCATATCCAGACTTAAAGCGGATATGTCACAGTTCCTTGATGACAGTGGTACATATACATTAAAAAGTGTCTGTATAGCTGGATAACGTCTCACGTCTGGGTCGGACATATGACTTATAATATCGAAATAAAAGTCACTTTTAAACAGGTACACTATTCTGCAATTTTCCACGGCGATAAAAGTAAAAGATTTAAAGGAACTTTTCAAATGTTTATGTATGTATTTAGAATAAACATCTTTCTCTTCATTTTTGATACACTTCTAGATTTGTATTTTCATTTCCATTTTCTTATTTTTTTTTATTTTTTTTTATTATATCATTTTTGCATAACTAGTGCCAAGACATTTCTGTTTTCATCACATATATATAAACTTATCTCAGGATTTATTTACCTTTCACTTTTTATGAATTTATGAAGTAAATAACATCATAAGCGTTGTTAGGTGCATGATTTCATTTGTTTCTAAATACTACATAAAACATGCATTATAATGATAGCCTTTAAGACAGCAAATATTGAGAAAATAATTTGTCGATGCACAATGCCATGCTAAACATTTGCACTGTATAATATTTGGAATAGATAATAAACATATAAAAATATTTATGCACGGATCAATAACACATGGCGGCACACTCTTTAATGACCTTAGCGGTTGATTAGACGTCGAACCTTATGCACCTATTTTTATTTTCTGCGTCTACTCATCGTAATCATAACTGTTTTGTCAAATGGGAATCTTTGTTGAATTGGCTGAATGAGATTGCACCTTTCGGAGGGAAAAAAAGTCGATGAATCTACAACAAAAAACAAATAGATCATTTTTTTTAATAATATTTGTTAAATGTTATGCCACCTTAAATAGGCTTTGTGTGCATTAT